CGGGGCGGTCCCCTGCCACGGACGGCGCTGACTGGGCGGCCAGCGTCACGCAGGGCAGCCGTTTTCTTTGAACAGCTGCAGTGGTCCAGGCAACAAAGGGGCCTTCCGTAGTCCGCATGGGGGCCCCAGGCGCTCTGGGTGTTCCCATCTCCAACTTGCAGACCGAGCCGTTCCGTGTCTGTGCGATGAGACCCCAGGGCCCATGCTTTCCAGTCCTAACGGAAATGCTGTTCTGACTCTAGTATTGATTGTTTTCCTTCTAATGAAAAGTAATTTATCAGTTATGTCCCATCAGCTTAACTCACAGTCGTTCCTCTCATTAAATGGCAGTTTATTAGAAGTAGAGCCCTATAAACAGGGGCTAGTGTGTTTATCTCTCTGCCCAGAGATAAGAAAAGGGGAAGCCTGCATGTAGTGAATGAATTATTTAGCTTAAAATTGAGCAGACTCCGTAGAGCGTGGGTCAGAGGCAGGAGGGTATGAATCAGCCAGACCAGGAGCCACAGGCTTACTGGTTAATGGGGAATCAGAGGAGAGCAGCCGCCTCCCACCACCTCCCACTGCCGCCTGGGCAAGGGCCGTTCACTCTCCTGCTGTGGTCCTGAGGGAGGAGAACTAGCAAAAGAGTTGAAGGCGTGTCAGATTAACCTAAGTCTGTATGATTCTGATACAAGTTGCCTAACTTCTCTGGGGCCTGGTTTCCTTGTCGGTGGGAGGGGAGACTCCATCCAGGGTGCTGGGGGCACGGCGTGTGCCACAGAGCCTGTGGTGAGCTGACGGCAGCAGGCATGGCTCACGTGGTGCTAGTCTTACGTGTCATGAGGAATGCTGCAGGAAGGGGCACACGGGCCAGAGAGGGGTGGGGCGCAGATGCAAGAGAGGGCAGTTCTCAGCAGAGTGAGCACTCGGGGGAGACTGCCCCAGTGCTGTCAGCACCAGCCTTCCTCGGGAAGTGAGGGTCCTGGGCGTTCATAGACCTCCTAGGGCCCTAGGGGTTCTTATGCCTCTCTGAAATTCGGGAAACGACTGTTCTGCCAACTCGGGGCCGAGACGCTCCATGCACTTCCCAAGCTCGTGCCATAAGCCGGGAGATGCCAAGGGAACTGCCCGGTGTTAGATGTCACAGTTTATTTCCTCCCACCCTTTCCGTAGCCCATGAGCAGAGACTGCGAGCTGCCTGTTTTTCCCGGGGGCTCACCATTCCACTGCACACCCACAAGGTCCTCTTGCACTTACCTCTGGCTCTGCCTGAGCTGGGAGTGTGAGAGTCAGTGCCCCTCTGGCAGCTCCAGCCAGTGGGAGTGAAAGTCGGAGGACAAATACCCTAGTCTCTGCTCCCTCAGGTGCAGCAACTCCGAGGCACACCCTCCCGGTCTCTGAGGGCTCTCCTGTGGGCTTGAACCTCAGTAACTCCAAGCAGCAACTGAGTTCTGGTGGCCTCTTTTCCTTCCTGCCTCATTTCCTTCTCCCTGTCAGTGCTTCCTGGAGCAGGACCAGGATTCGGGTGAAGGTCCCTCAGAGCTGGGTTCGTGTAAGTGGAGGTCCCTAAGCATCTCACTTGCATCACCTTTCCCTGGCCTCGTTCTGGGTCACATTCCAAGTAAGGTATTCACACTCGCGTTTAGTCTCCTGGGGACACCCAACTGAAAGAAAATCCTATGGGGAAATTAGTATCTGAGTTTTTTTTTAATTACTTAATTTTATTTTTTATTATTATTTTTAAATTTTTGTGTAGAGTATGTATGCTCCTCAAAGAGAGAGAGAGAAAGTGTAAAAGCAGGCTGTCAGGTTCAGCCCTTGAACCATGATCAGTCATGTGGGAGTCCAGTGCCTTAACCACTATGCCACCTGCTGGCCCCTAGTCTCTGCGTTTTATACCACCAGGGTTTTGAGGCTTAGAGAAGTGATGGAATTTACCTAGGGTCATACAGCCGGTAATGGATTGGGATTTGAACCTGGGTCTTTTGACACCAGAGCTGACGTTCTCTGTGCTACATACTACACGCCTCCTGTCTCCACCAGAGTCACAGAATGAACGACGCATGGAAATGTCAGTCTGAATGGCTCGTTCTCACCTGCGAGGCAGCCAGTGTTGGCCTTCAGTTGACTTTAGCAGACGACCCCAGCGAGTGGTGGGCGGGAGGATTTGGAGTTGCCAGGGAGAAGCTGCTAAAACCATGTGCATGGGGAAGCCAGGAAATAGGTTGCTCGTTTCCTCTAAGTTTCAAAAGCCTGGACTGTTGGGGCTGTGGGAGGGCTCTCCAGTTCCACGCAGATTAACCTACCTGTTTCACTTCCGGCCTGGAGCTGGGCAGCGAGGCCCCAAGGTGAGTCAGAACGGGGGAGATGGGCTGTGGATGTGACTTCAATAAACTGCAAGTGCAGCGATCCCAGGGAAGTCCGAGACCGCACCGCCAGCGCCAGCGGCAGGCCACACTCCCCTGGGGCCAGGGCCGGGGCCGGGGCCAGGAGGAGCTTGTCAGAGGCCGCTTGTCATCGCGGATGACTGAGCTATAATTTAACCTTGGAGGGAAAATACAGTGAAAAGGTCGGAGAGGTCAAAGGGACAGTCACTCCTGACAGGTCGGCGTGAACAAGGACAGGACGCAGCAGCTCGAGGCGTGCTGGAGAACCAGCAGGCCCATCCCGGGCATAGAGGTGTGGGGAGTGCCGGGGGCTTCCCGAGGGCCCGCTGGGAACACGAGGGCCTGGCCGCCTGCCCAGCACGGGTACTTCTCTGCACCCATGCGTCCCCTTCCCTAGTTCCTTATGGACAGCTGGGTTGGCACTACAGGGCTGTGGGGAGCCTTGTCAGGACGGGTCCTACCCTGTGGTGCACCGTGGCCATCTGTGGCTGATGACAGCTGCCAGCAGCTGCCATGCCTCTGCTACAGCCAGGGCTGTCCCAGCTGCTCCCTGCCGCAAACCCCGCCAGCCTCCTCCCTGCACTGGCCTTGACCCCGTCCTTCCCTGGCAGTCTGATAGGCTGGCTCCTGTTCCTGGGTGATGGACGTGGACTCACAGAAACACAGACAGAAACCTGGTGATGCTCACCGGGGTGCGTCCTAGCCTGGCTCGAGACCGGCTGCTGGTGTGAGTCATAGCTGAGCCACTCACGTTCTGTCCCACGCGCGCTCAACTGAACACACCCTGGCTAGGCAAGGCGCCGTGACAGTGACAGCCCTCTGCCCTGCACGGCCCTGCCCCCACCTCCCTGCCTCTCAGAGCTTACCTGCCTTTGGTACCTAGTAAGTGGAGCAGGGCTGTTGGCTGGCATGTTTGCAAGCTGGCCTGCCAAAACTGGTGCAGGAGCCTCTACCCCAGTCTCCTGGTACCACAGGCTGGCCGAGGGGAGTGGGAAAGGTAGGCTCACTGCCAGTAGGTAACCTCAAGTGTTAAAGGGTCTGCCCACCAGTTTGCCTGGGCTACAGTGGAGTCCTGAGGCTCTGGGCCCTCACGGAGACTCCTTCAGAACGGTAGCCTGGTGGCCCACAGCTCCGCGCAGCCCAAGGCCCCTTCTCCCAGAGAAGGGGTGAACCTGGTGTGAACCTGCCCTTGGCCTACAGTCAAAGCTGGACTGCACAGTCTGGCTGTCACTGCCTTGCCACTGCATGTCAGCCTAAGTACATCCTCTCGAGGCCCTTGGGGCTGACCTGTGTCTGCAGGCACCCGTGTGTGTGTGCCCCACGGTCCTGTACCTGCCCCTCTGCCAAGGGCCAGCTCTGTTGACGTACTCCTCTTCAAGACTCAGCTCCCCGGCCTCCCTGCCCACATCAGGCAGGGGCAACCTCTCCCTCTTGCGTTTCCACATTGCCTCTTGTTCATTAATACTTACCACATTTGGGGAAATTGCCCTATTATAATACTGCGTATTTCCAGGCTAGGCTCCTCCAGCCCCTTTCCGGGTGGCCACCACCCACACTCAGTGAGCAGGGCTCTCCGTGTTGCAGCTCGGGGGCCCGGCTTCCTGCGGTCATCTTGCGTAAGTGTGCATCACGGCCCTGCCTACTCGGCTGCCCAGGTCGGCGTGGAAGGAGGTGCACCTTCCTGAATTAGCTGGTGTCTGGGGAGTGGTTGTGGAGGAACAGGGTGGGGCTTGGGGACGCTAGAACCCAGGTCTCCCCTGAATTTCACTTTCTGGGTACAGACCAGTGTTACTGGGGTCACTCACATTGAGAGCAGGCCCGAGGAGAGTGACCGACAGCTGCGTTTCCGAGGTAAGCGCCCCCTGGACTGGTTCCCCTCCAACTCAGTCCTCATGCCTCCTCTCGGCTGGCCAGAGGAAGTGGACGCTGAGAAGACCACAGCAGCTGGCGCCCTCCTCAGCAGGGCCCGGCTCCTTTAAGGAGGGAGGCCCACTCTGTGTGGTCAGTTTAGCTAAGGAATCCAGGAGGCCCTCATTCAAACAGGCGCAGACCTGAGCTGGGTTCCGGGCCACTGCAGTGAAGGAGAGAGGCCCGAAAGCGTTCGCCCAGAGTGGCCGTCCTGAGGCTGCGCGGGAGGCGCTCCAGTGCCTGGCGTGTCGCGGGGCTGAGGGTTGGATGGATGAGGCCTGAGCAAGAGTGAACTACTGAGCCAGCCAGGCCTCGGAAGGGAAGAGCCACGTAGGCCTTGGCCCTCCCTAAAGCTAAGGGCCTCGGGCGCCCCATTTTACCCTTGAAACCGGCCTGGGACAGAGCAAGCGTTCCGCGTGCCCGCTGACGTCTGGAGACCAAGCAGTATTACAGGACTTGGGGAGATGTTTCAGGGACTGCTTTCTTGTTCACTAAGTGAGAACAAAGAATCCTACCTCTCTGCTCTCTTCGGTCTGGCGAAGCTGTATGAGTGTGGTGCCGGGTCCAGCCGTGCTGGCTGCCAGGCGCAGAAGTGGCTCTGACCGGAGGGGCCAGGGTAGCCTGCGGGACTCGCCGAGTGCTGAGTGCAGGCTGGAAAGGGGCTGGGGTGCAGCTTGTGAGCGTGGCTGGAGTTGGGAGGGGAGGGGAGGACGATGGCCCGGTGAACGGCTTCCAGTGCCACGGTCGTTTCGGACTTGGCTTTCTGGGGCAGGAGCCACCACGTGAAAACATGCATCCTTTTTAAAGGGAAGTAGAGCTTTGGAATGACACGATAGCATCTGTTCTGCACGGCCACTGCTGACGTGTCGTGAGTGGGAAGGGGCAGGGACATGGACAGAGGAGAGGTAGGCAGGAAGCCATCGAGACAGCCAGACAGCGTGGGCTAGGGCAGTGGCTGTGGGTGGAGGGGACACCGGAGCTCTCACGGGGCTTGCGGCCTGAGTGCACAGAGGAGGTTAGGGTCAGGTGCAGGCAGCCCGAGTGGCCGGAGAGCGGTCCCTTGATTCTGCTTGACCTCTAACCGAGATTGGGGTTGGGGGCGAGTGAAAGAGAAAACGAGTGCGGGTGTGGCTTTGACTTGAGTTTGAGGGGCTTCTCCAGCACCAGATGGCCACATCTAATGGATCATCAGGATTTAGGGTTCAGCTCAAGATGGGTGGGTTGGAGCCCCGAGGTGGGTACTTTTTGTTCTTAATTTGCTGTAGGGTGTGTGCACTTGCTGGAGGGCGCGGGGAGTGAGAGGGAGAGTGCGAGAGCGCAAACATCGCCACAACCCCCTCCCCATTTCTCCCCTTGGGGTTTTGGGCACACACCCAAGCGTGCCTGGCCAAGCCGCACAGTCGCCATGTGGGATCCAGCTGCCCTGCCACCCCCACGGCCACACCGACCGCCACCCCCACGGCTGCCCTGACACAGATTTCACTCAGCACTGGAGATGGGGAGGTAAAGAGGGGGCACGGACAGAGGGGCAAGGCCAGAGACTTGGGAGCGCTGTTTAAAGAGAAAGGGGAGGGAACCAGCAGTTAGCGTAATGGCTATGTCGCTGGACTCCCACGTAGTCGACCGCGGTTCATGTCCCGGACCCGGTGGCTTAAAACTCACGCCGGGCGCGTGTGCGTGCGTGCCCAAGATCCCGAGAGGAGAATGGAGGAGAAGGGATTGCGGCGTGACCATCCCCCCTGGGGGGTGATTTCTCGCTTTCTGTCTCTATGTCTCTCTCTGTCTGTCTGGTGAGCGCACGCGCCCTACAGTGAAAATCTCTCCAAAAAAAAAAAAAAGAGAGAAAGGGGAGAGATGACTGATGACGAGAGACTGAAGGCACCCAGGAGGGATGCCGGTGAGGCCAGCGACATGGAGACTTTCACAGCAAAGGGATGACTCGCGGCTTTGCGGGCCAGAGAGAGGGCCGGCGGCATGAGACAGGCAATGTCCCAAGACCTGGCAGCTGGATCACAGGAGGCCGCGAGAGGGCACGTCCATGGGAGACAGGAGCAGGTGCTGTTGCGAGGAGGAACAGTGGAGTGACCATGACAGAGACCTGCTACTGGGCGCTCCCCTGCGCTTCACCCCCAGTGGCACCTACAGCACCTCCCTGCCACAGCTGCCTTCAGCCGCGAGAGGAGACGGGTCTGCAGTCCTTCGAAGCGCTCAGACCAACTCCTCTAACGCTCACAGGACCTTAGCTTTTCATGTTCTAGGAGAGGAAATTGAGGCTCATCGTTTCGATTCAGATTCAGTGAAATAACCCTGAATTCCCACGGAGGGAAGGTTCCTCTTCTCTCCTTTTCTCACTGCCCCCCTGTAGCCCTTGACAGCCAGCAGCCCCCACTTCACAGCTGAAGAAAACGGGGCGCTAAGGCTGAGCGCGTGGAGCTGCCGGGGGAGCTGGGCCTTGTCTGAGCTGCCCGTTTTGCTGCGCCTCACCGCACCTCCCAAACCTACCGCGACCTCCCTGCTGCGCCCAGCGTGCTGCGCAAAGCATGGCACCAGCTATGCCACCATGCCCGAGGCCTCGCGAGGGTAGATGCTGTTTCCTGTTTTACAGACGAGGCTGAGAGTCAAGGAAGTCATGGATGACTTGCCCCGGTCACAGCACGGTCGGAGCCTCCCCAAGCTCAGACCCACCCTGCCCATGAATCCTCGTCGCTTTCGGGGTGAAACCCACGTGCTTAGCCTCACACCAAGGCTGCCTGCTGCGGCCCACTGCGCCTCTGGGGGACCGGGTCCTCCAGTCTGTAATGATCCCTCAGCCACGGCACATGTGTGCCCGCCTCAGTCCCTGCCTGTGCCGACCCACGGTGACGGCTGGTGAAGCCTGGGGCCTCGGTGTGCTTCGCATGCCCTGGCCTCTGCAGATGGGAGCTCCAGGCAGGGGCAGGTGGGAAGGAATGAGTGGCGCCTGGACTTGAAATCAGTGCCCCCAGTGCCATCTCACAGCACTTAGCACTTGTGCCTGGAAAGCAAGGGCCTTCAGGCTGATCACGAGGGTCTCTGATGGGCAGAGGCTTGGCGTCACGTCCACTGCTGCCTTCTGGGCCCCCAGGAGGAGGCGGCGAGGGCCTGCGTCACAGCCTGCCAGGGTGGAGCAGGCTGACCTGGGCCGCCCTTCTCGCCACAGGTGGCCGCCTCTGTCGTGGGGCCACATGGACCGCCCTGGGCCTGCAGGGTCGCAGCATGGAGGAGGAGCCCCGGGCCGCCCCCGGGAGAGCAGCTCCGGGCTGGTGAGTTCAGCACTGGGCTCCCACCTCTGCTGCAGGGGCAGTCGGGCAGGGTGACCGCGGGTGCCCAGGGCCCACGTCTCAGTTGGGCAGCCTCTTGTGGGTTTCACACGAGATCTGGGCCGCGCTCCTTTCAGGCTCTTGACCTTCAGGATGGGGCTGTCTGCTCACTTCCCAGCTGAGGAAGAGGCAGGCGGCTTAGAGTCGAGGGCCAGGAAGCCATGGCAGGACAGGGCTCGAGCTGTTTCCTTCTCTTAAGAGAGGTTTTTTTTACTGTAGGGCGCATGCGCTCACCAGAAAGACAGCGAGAGACCAAGATAGACAGTGAGAAATCACTCCCCAGGGGGATGACCAAGCCACAGTCTTCTCCTCCATTCTTCTTTCGGGATCTGGGGCATGCACGCACACGCGCCCGGCGTGAGTTTTAACCCTCTGGGTCCGGGACTCAAACCACAGCTGACTACGTGGGAGTCCATTGGCGAAACCATTACGCCATCTGCTGGTCCCTCGAGCACTTTCTTTGGTCACTTGGCTACAAAGAGCACCCCTACCCCAAGTGTGCTGACGCGGTCCAAGTGGACCCTGGGCTTTCTGTGAAGGCTGTGTTCTCGAGCTCCTTCCTCCCCGTAGTCCCTCCCGGTGCCTCCTCTTCTCCACGTGGCTGTGAGTGCCAGGCTCACACAGGTTATTGTGCGTGTCCCGTGTGCCCGGGGCTTGCTCTGAAGCGGCTCTCTTCTTTCTGCCATCTGGACGGTGATCTCTATGCCCTTGCACACCACACCCTTGAACAGGAAATGCTTGCACAAGTTGTTTCGTATCTCACTGTTTCCTCATCGGTAAAATGGAGGGAAATGAAGCCGAAACCCCAACCCCGAAGGGTTCAAGGAACTAGTGGAGCTACTGGACCTGCCTAGAGGGCCGTCTGCAAAGGTCCCTGAGCCTCCCGCCACTCCCTGAGTCCCCAGATACCCCAGTCCCTGAGACTAGGCACCGAGTGTGGGGCGTCCCCTGCAGCTCGCCCTGCTCCCCCGCATCCAACCACACCCCAGACCCCGCTGTGAAGTTGTGAAGTTCGTTCCAGACCCAGCCACAGCTGAGCCTGGCGAGCCTTGGCTGGGCCATGGCCTACCTGGCAGGGTGCCTCAGGGCCCACCACGATCCCCTCACTGCCTGCCCCTCCTCCCCAGACCCCTGGCCAGGCCGCACCTGCCCTGCTGGCTCCCCTTTTGCCCCAGGCAGCTCCACACAGGGCCAATTTCCTGCTTGCCGGTGTCCGGGTCAGTCACCTGCCCGGGTCACCGCAGCCTCCTCCACTGGCGGTCTCCGCTTCGCAGTGCGGACACAGCCCACCCGTGCACGTCCGAGGGTGCGTTCCACTCCACACACTGTCCCCATTAATGCTCTTGCCCCCACAGCCGTGCGATCAGGCTAGCTACCCCGTGCGGCCCCAGGATGAGACGTGGCTCTGGGTTAGGGAGGCCGGCCTCCCGTGGTACTCATGTTTGCACAGGTGAGAGTCTGGGCTTCCTCGGACCGCTCGGCCAGATGGCCCTGGGGCCAGGACTCAGGAGGTCGGCTTCTCATGCCGGTCGTGCAGGGCGTCTCTCCCAAGCCCTTCTTCAGCCTTGGGTTCTTTTCAGGAGGGAGTTGCTAGTTTTTACAAAGCTTCACGTTTACGTGGAAACGCCTCTGCAGCCAGACAGATGTGCGTTCGAGTCCTACCTGCCCCCTCCTCGCCACCTGGAGGAGCAGCACCTGTCTCCTCGGTGGGGATCGGCGGTCTCAGGCGCGCGGCTGTGGCATCTGCCATGAGGGAAGCGCGTGGCTGGATGTGCTGGCATCCCAGTGGGAACTGTCTGCCTCCCTAAGGGGCTGGTCCTGCTTGCTTCTTCAAACGGGGTCCTCGTCTCTCCCTCTGTGGGAACCTCTGCTCTCTGACCTCCTTGGAGGGGCCTCGTAGTCAGTTGCCCGAGCGACTCTTCACAGATGGTTCGGTTTGGGGCAGCAGGCCACTGGGGTAGAATTCCAGCCCAGGGAGGAAGGCGTCACAGTTGTAGCCCTCCAGTGTGATTCCAGGGAGGCTGCTTTGGAGGAGGGCGGAGAGGGCCCGGGGAGGCCCCTGCATACACACAGCTGAGGTCGCTGGGGCTCTGGTGGCCAGAGAACCTGGGGTGAGAAGCTTGGGAATGTCACCCTCAGCTCTCCCTGCCGTCTGGTCCCTTGGCTCTGCTCCCCGGGCCCAGCCTTCCTCCACTTCTAGCCCTTGCTCTGAAGGAGGTCCCTTTATGCTGTCGCCCCAGATCTTCAATGGCTTTTTTCCTTCTTTTATTGAGCCTACCTCCCCAGGCAGGCCCTTCTTGACTTGATCTAAAAGTGTCCCTTTATCCCCTGGTCACTCTGACTTCTGTCCCGGCCCCAGCCCCGCTTTTGTAGTCACCAGTGTCACGTCACGGCCACGACGCAGGTTGTGTCCCTCTGGGGTCCGAGCTGCAGCACGAGCTCTGTCGTCAGAGTGTGCTGCTAGGTCAACGCTGGCTGGGAAGGCGGACTGCGTGAGGGAGGCCCGTCCCCTGCGTCCCGGTCTCGGCGCTCCTGTGTTGGGGTTGCTCAGGCTCGAGTCTGAGAGCAGGCTAGGACAGGGAAGCACTTGAACTTGAGGTTTTGCATTTGCTCATTCTTTTACTCGTGGAACAGCTGAGAGGCTCTCGCTCCAGTACTGGGGAGCCAGAGAACCATCAGTGGTGGCGTGACAGGAGGGAGCCCTGGCCACGCCTGAGTGCAAAGTAGAGGGGCGGGGCAGGGGAGGGGCGTAGGGGCTGAGCAGATGTGAGGGGGAGAGCAGGAGGAGGAGGAAAGTGGGTTCTCTGTTGAATGGAGCCTTTCATTTTCATATTTTTAATTAATTAATTAATTTTGGAGAGGTTTTTCCTATAGGGCATGTGTGCTCACT